CAATTAATATGCTTGTGGTTTTTTTCTTTAAATGCAGAGCAAGGTGGGGTAAAAAAGAAAATACTCTCAGCCTTAAAACGACCTTTAGATTTTGTAGGCAAAACAGTTACTTTATATTTGCATGAAAATGACAAGTCCTTCAGAATCATGTAGTTTTCCTACAAGAAAAACAAAAAGATCACATGCTGCAAATAGACCTCTAAGAAAAAAAAAAAAAGAAACTGAAATACAAGGTTGGCAGGAGATGAAAAGTTTTCTCCAATAAAATATTTTCCTGATATGCTTAACACATGTCAACGTGGCTTTTACTCAGAGAACAAAGCAAACATTGCCTATGTTATTATTATTTTTCAGTAGTAAAATGTATTAGCATGGTATTTGGATACGTCCTTCGATTCTACACAGTTCCTTCACCACTCTGCATCAAAGCAACTGGCTTCTAACATTTAGAACAGTCTCTCTGACATGACGGCAGTGGGGGTAGCAATGTGAGGAGGTAAATGCTAATCGAATTAAATAAATGTAAGAAAGCTGAATTATGTTGTAGTAAATGACAGGCTTCATCTACATTTAACTTTTTAAAAGCACATTCAAAGTCCAACATGGCATTATGGATCCATTTTTTTCCGCTTTAGCACACTAAGTAGTTCTATGTTCTTATCAGGAAGAAAAGCTCCACAGCTGAACTACATAAAGCACATGTCTCTGTTTAAAGACAATGACTGGAGAAGACAACTTTACAAAGTGCAGGTGTCCTGCTAAATTCTTACTGTTGTCTAAAGTACTTTTGAAAATCACAGCCTGAAAGCTTTAGCATAAACCATATATGAGAAAAAAAATTTAGTTTTGTTTTTCTGGGAAGATATCCAATAAAACCTTACTGGCTAAGGTCAAAAGTCTTTCACTGTCTTTTAGATCCTTAATTCCCTTCAGCATCACTAATTTCCAGCATTCTTCTGCATAACTCCCTCTTTTTTCTAATCCCAAATAGGATTAGTCTAACCTTCACTTGGAAGATCACTTTCGATGGGACATAGAGATTGGGCTGAGAATGGACTTGACTGCCTGCCTTCCACCTGCCAGGAGAGTGCTCTAACAGGCTTGATGTCTCCTTAAAATTGTGATAGGACTAGTTTTATTTATTGTGACAGGGCTTAAACCCTCATCGTTGGAAACATAAGGCTTTTATCCACCTTGACCTATCATATCCAGTACCAAACCTTTCGTAGCATCCGCCTTCTGTTTGCTTGTAATTATTTTCTTCCTCAAAAGAAACACAGAGGTTCCCAAAGTAGGTTAGACCAATTACCATAAAATGATCGAGAGGAAATAAATGAACTAATCCCACAATACATTTGGGCAGAGGTACAAGAGTCTTTCCTGACCTCTAGTGGAAATAAACTTCTTAAATGTTAACTTTCTCCTATCTTCAATGTGCATAACTTGAAATATTGGGACTGATCATAACATGTCACAATCATTTTTTTAATCCACCTCTAATATTTGCTTTGCTGACCCCATGAAGCAGTAAATCTTACAAACTAACAGCCTCCTGTATGAGAAATGATGTCTTTTGATTTACTCTACTTTTACGTGCCATTAACTCCACTGAATTGATCCGGTAGTATAGGTCAGGATAAGAAGGAAAGGTGAACTGTGATTTCCTCCATTCTCCATAACCCACTAAATCAACTGTGATGCACCAATCACATTACCGTGTTGTTCAAATAACATGTTACAGAGACGGATGACACTAGATGGCCAACAAACTGAGTGCAAAGAACCGCCACTGCAATATATATTTGGGCTGACATGTACTTACATAGAGCTATTCTCCTTATCTGATATCTGTCTGACTTCCAGATTTAATGTCTAGCATTTTTCACCTACGGTCCTTTTTTCTTGTTCTATTATTCTCCTCAGGGTTGTGAAACCCACCTGCATGTCTAAAAGAAAACTTAGTTTATTAATTACTATCATTACTATTCAGTATTTGCACTGTGCTAGAGTCCTACAGTACTAACTACAGATAAAGCACCATGTTCTATATGCTGTAGAAATATGTAAGTACTTAGTTGAGAAGTTTGTTTGCCTCATCTTGTTTCCTGAATAATGCTGACAAAAAAAAAAAAAATAAAATATTTTAGCCTAGTGTGGATTAAAAAAAAAAAAGCCAAAACCCGAAACAGTCGAGATGCATCATTTTTATCTTTTGCCAAAGTAGAACATAAAAAAGAAACATTCCTGTTTATCTGTGAAACACGGTATATAGCATTCTGTGTTATGTTAGAGAACCATCCTTTCTCTTGCTGCTTAGAAGCTATTCAGGGTCAAGCAGAAGGTTGAATGGAGACTTACATAGGTCAGCTCTGTTACTTTCCCAGGTCCTTTGGTGTCATTGTGTGCACAGGACTCCAGTAACCAGTGGACTTGGAATTGATTCATGCTGATATCTAAATGATATAAAAAGAGCGGAAAAGACATAGATTATCATTATGCTTTCACCATTGCAACTTTTCTGGCTTCTCTGGATAAAAATAGAAGGAGCATTAAGTATTGTACAGCTGGTAGTTACTCACTTGTTCCTAAGCATCCTTTAATAGAATGGAGAAAATATTACACACTTACGTAATTTAAACCTTATATCAGCTAATGGAGATAAATTTAAAAATACTGAACTGGCATTTTCAGATACGTAAGCCTATACTGCTTACATTTTTTAAAAAATCAAGCATTTAAATTGAGCATTAAAAAAAAATCTCAATGCCGCTACTTCTCAACATCCTGCAAATGATGGGAATGACTTTGTGTTAACTGCCTGTGACTGTTTGTATTGTCAGAACATTGCAACGCTGCTGCCTGGCACTGCTTGAGAAATCTGTGCCTGAAGATATGTGAAAATGCCTGTAAATCCCTGAGCCTTCTCCTTTCAGAATATATCATAAGACCTGTTCAGTATCTGTCAAAAAGAAATTCGAATCTTGACTTCTAGGAGTAATACCAAAGGCTTGAGTTTGCTCCCATTTAAATCAATGACAAAACTTGTCGCAGTATCAATAGCATAAGCTTTCAACCAATTTCCAGCTCTTCTAGCTTCTTGTCTAATACTGATTGCACAAGGAAGCAAAACAAAGGGCAATAAAGAATTAGATAAAAGAAGAAAATCTCATCAGGTAGTGCAAATACATCCTGTCATTTTTCTGGATCTAGTTCTCCTCTATCTTTATAGAGGGGATGCAAAATTATGTCTGTTATTATTAATCAGCTTGGTATGACATAGCCACTAATGCCAAGTGCCTGACTGTGGGTTTCAGGAGGGAAAACAAATATCTTTGATGCCTTAAGGGCTGATGTGGCATTAGACTGCTGTGAGCAATTTGGATGCAGAAGGGAAGGACTATAAAACTAAACAGAAAATAAATAGTGTCTGAAAGTAGCTCAAATGGTATTCTGGTAAAAAGACTGATTAGAAGCTCCTTGAAATAGATTTTTGCAGCAGCTATATTTGTAGTAACTGGTATGCTAATTATTTGTGTGATTTCTTTGGAAACCAAACATTTTTTTCAAAAAAGAAATCTATAAAGAAATTACTTGCTGCCTTGTGATTGTTCCCTCTCATTTAAAAATAAAGAAAGGAACGGATGTGCTTTCACTTGCCTCTTAGCTGTGGCGCTTTCCCACTTGATGTGCCTATTGGATGAAGACACAAACTCACAGCGCATTTGTAAGTAGGTTTCATCTGATTTCACCTCTTCCAGTTCACTCAATTATTGCCTATCACCTGCTCGCAGCCCTCTCCTGGGACAGACAAAACACCTAGCTTCTTGGGACCTGAAAACTTTGTGCTGCTATATTAATCATGCTATATTAGCGATGTACACTGGGTGCCAATTACTACAGCAAATCTGTTATTGATTGTATATTATCTGATAATCACAACTTATTATTTTAAACTATCTGCACGTAAAGCTACAAAACAGCTACTTTCACTTATAATAACTTTCACTTGCAATCCATAAATAAATCACTTTCTCTTTGGTAGAGATTATTCCAGCCAATTAAGCCTTGCCACTATCCAGCCATCACGAACTGGATAAGATGCATACCTCAGGTAGGTCACTGAATATCACTACATGGGCAACTGGGGAAAGAGAAATACCAAGCATCAAGAGCTTACAACAGCTCAGCATCCACGTATATCAGGGTAGAGGTTTACTAAGCCTCTGTTCAGAAATGTAATTAAACGGGTTGTAACCCAAGATATTTGGTATTTTCAGCTCCTGACACAGTAGAATTCTGTTTGGATTTTATTGCAGCTCCACCTCCTTTCCTCACATGAGCTTCTGCTCTCAGGTAGCTCTTTTCTTCCTTCCTACTTCTCTCCCGCATTAGCAAACCCTTAGTAACCCATTTGTAAAGAGCTGTGGTTTCTGATAACCTCTCTATTTCAGCTAGAAAACCAGAAAGAGGTTAAAAAAATTTGTTATTTCATTTTCTGTCAACTTGGACTGTAAAGGTAGGATGAAGGTTTTTAATAAATGTAATTTAATATTTTTTTATTTAAACAAAATGAACAAATGAATCTTATATTTTATAGTGCTCACATCTGGTATTCTGATAACAATCTATATTGAAAAGACAGGATTTTCTTTCTTGTCAGTGAGTATGTAATTAAAAGTTATTTCAAAAAGGTTTTTGTATACATATATGCAAGTACATCAACGGCTATAAATTGGAACCCATCATGACAGCACCAGCTAAGTTTATCCAAAACTTTTCATCAGAACAGGCCGTTTTGACTTCCCTAAACTTTTATTTTCAAGACTAAAATTTCTTCAATTCTCATCTCCACCTTTGTGATTGCTGTTATCTAAAAGATTTGAACATAAACTTGTTAATTGTTTTTTCTTAAAAAGAAGAATGCAAAACCAATTCACAACAATAAAAACAATTTTTTCCTTTTAAAAATCTATCCTGTCAGGGCCAAAAGCCTGAGTAATCTGGGTTGTAAAACTGGAATATAATAGGGAAGCAATTCCTACTTGAGACAGAAACTTTTTAAAAAATAGGGAAAGGTGGGACATTTTGTGATTAAATAAAGCTAGAAGCATGAAAAAATCAAAGTGTACGTGTATGCATGAAGTATGCATATCAAATAACAAGACCGGTTTAGAAATTATCTTTAAATTTTTTAAAAGCAAAAAGAGACAAGATGTATGGAATCATCTAAAAAGCCACCTAAGAGACTTCAAAAAAAATGATGAAAATGCATAGTTGCTCATAAAGCTCATGGCTTTAGAGTTTTGCTTTTATGCAAAACATTATACGTCTGATTTTGTGTTTACATCACATGCAAAAGAAAACCTTCGCCCAGCCTTCTTTTCAGCAATATACACTCTCCTAGTGAGATCACTACTGTAATTTTATTTAGATTTTTGTTTTCCGCTGTCCATTACAAACTCAGCGGTAGGTACTGGACAAGCCGTCCAAGCTGCAGTCCAGGTGAACATCAGGCACTATCCCCAAAGCTGATGGTTCTGAATTAAGCCCAGCTAAGGTTAATACATTGGAACCCACAGCCACATCTTTTTTTGAAAATTCATTGGAGTAGTTAATATTAACTAATATCCAGTATCTAATGGGACTGATTTTGGCCAGTTTTATCAGAAAGCTCTACTATTCCTTCTAGAATGGGTATGTAACACTGAAAAAAACCTGCCAGACTCCTTCAGTCTGGTTCTCTGATATTTCACACGTCACAATATAAAGCCTTTTTTGTACATAATCAATGTTCTTAATAGTTTCGAGTTTCTTGATTCTGTACTTCCAGCTAGGAGTCTTTATAAAGCTTTATAACTTCATTGTTCTCATGGTTGGAAAGTATACCATTTGACAGTAAAAAGACTGATGCTTGCACAAACAGCAAGCATTCATATTTCCCAGAACTCAAAATATTTGTATAGAAACACTGAACTTGAAGGACATACTAAGTGCTAGCACTCATTTGAGCAGCTCTAAGCTTGTGAAATTAGTCAACAGAATAGTCACTTAAATAAGAACTCCTTAAAGGACTGTTACAGCAGACAGCTTATTCAAACAATTACTTTCATTTTCAAGTTTCTTTAAATAAAAAGATAAAAAAAAAATTAATAAAACAAACCAGGAAAATTACTTTAAAAATCTCTTAAAGTTACTGACATGGAAATGACCTCCAGCTGCCCAAGCTAAAGATTTTTAGATCTTTCAGACAGTTGCACATAACTAATCCTTCCAAATAAATTAATAGCTAATGTTAATTATTTTGGCTACGATTTTAAAAGTAAATTTTCTGAAGCATAAAATGAGTTCCTAGACTTAAGAAAACATTGCTATACAGACACGACATGAGCATGTTCTTAAAATTCCACATATGCTTAGCTCTTTTGCTGAACAATGGTATGCAGCTAACTTTGTTGGACGGAAATCTTAAATCACTAACTAGAAATTTATTGATCAGGGGAAGCTCTAAAGCATGCTGAAAAGATACTTGTTTTGATTTCCTCCCTCTCATGTTTCACCCAAAAACGCCTTTAATTTCACATGAGTATCACCACAAATCTATCTCGCTGTTCATTGTGTTTAAGAAGATGTTCTTCACCGGGTTTATGTTCTTTCTCCCTCTCCCCAACCTAAATTCTTTAGTTCCATTTTAATAAAAATAAATACATGTATTTCAGATTTTTTTTTTGGGGGGAGGGGGAAGCGCACATTTATTCTGTAGCTTCAAGCTGTAAAAGCAGCTCAAAACCCTGTTAATGCCAATGCCAAATACGTCTGTTTGCCACTTTGAAATGTTCAGGTTCATATGCACAATTTAAGCAACTTAGATTGAAAAGTTTTGTTTAAAGGACTGCAACATATCCTAAGCCATGGCTGTACGATGGTTAATAGCAATACCCTAGGCCTACATTCTACACTTGCTAAATCTCATGATCTCCCCACAGAATTTGAATCTCTGAGACCCATTCAGAGAAATCACCCAACACAATGCCAGGTAACTCTGCAACTTTTCTTATCTGGAATTTCTGGTTTAAATGGTTCTACAGTTTATTGAAAATAAACTAAATAAAAAAGTGATCTCTTTCCTCATCTTTGCCAACATTTTCCACATTTCTGTTCTGCTGTACATTTCCATTACTGCCAGCCATGTGAATAATTTCGTCTAATGTGGTTTCTTTTTTTCCTCCCATGCTACTGGAGACAGCTCCTTTCTTTGCCTCAGATACTTTTTTCTGCTTTGTATTACATTTATTATCGCAGAAGGGTGCCAGCTTGACAATCAGGAGGAACTGAAGTCTGCTTTGTAGCTAGAAAACTGACATAGCATGGGCAGGAACAGCAATGAAGTTTGTTCACACAACCCAACGCCATCAATATGACAACAACCTACTGTCACTCCAGGAGACCAGATTTA